AAAGTCTGCTACCTGATTACCACTGCCCATAATTTTTTGATGGACCCAGTGAGCTCCAAGAAAGCCGAGACTACTAAGAATGACCAAACAGTGCAATAAACTGCACCAGAGGAAGAAGATAATAAAAAACCATCAGGTTACTCTATAAATTTGAGTAAATTACCAGAGTTTACCACACAAGAATCCAAGCAAGCGACCTCCTCACACGTGATTACTATACCTCTTCTCAAGACTTTTTCAACATGCAATGGATTCCTTTACCTCGTCGAATCTACTAGATTATTTCGAATTTTTCAATAAGAGCAGTCCTATTTATCTTGTGGAGCAAATCTCCACTCTCTTATAAAAGGTGGCTTAACTTCACAAGTGAATTTCATATAGGTCCTATAAAAAAATGGGGATATATTCCCATCAGATTGTACAACATTTTTCTTTCAATAAATATCACTAGTCTAGTGTAACATTGTAGATTAACACGAGTTATCAAATTGTTTTTTTAATCGAGTTATCTAGCCGATTAAAGCCCAAAAGCAACGCATATCACTAGTTTTCTTAGGTGCTTGTCGCTAGAGTTTAATGTGTAGATTATCATGATAGTATATTAATTCCCGAAATCAACACAGAAAAACAAAACAAGATTACACAAAATTCTTTAACATACCACGTAAGTACCAAAAACAAATGTACAAATTTTCATACCAAAACACCATATTACAAAAACAATACACAAACCTCCATACCAAAACACCATATTACCAACAAATAAAATACACAAAATTAAAAAAAAAAAAAAAAAAACCCCCATATTACCGAAAGAAAACCTCAAAAAATCCACGAAATCTAAAACAAAAAAGGTCAGCAACCTCACCATCATGCATCTTAGATCTCTAGTGCTCAAAAGTTAAAATCCTTTTTCATTCTGAGGCTAATATTATCGTATCGATCTAAGATAAAATAACACGTATGATAAGAAAGGTTATGCACAAATGTTCGTGTTTCATTCCATGATGCATAAACCAACTTCTCATGCACATAAGATTTTCTCAAAATTTTAAATTCAGGCTATAATGGATTTTTTGGTACACCGTTTGCAAGTTATTGTGTCTCAAAGAGAGAATACTACTACAGGCTCTGACTACCCAAACAACTTCTCCATGCGAGAGTATATGGGAGAAAATAGTAGTAGAAATACTCTTAACATAAGGAATATTGCAATTCTAAATCATAGAAATCAAAATTGTATGATATAGATTGCACACATTAAAAAAATAGCAACACATTATGTGCAATGACAAAAACATATATAATAAGTATAGTAGCGTTGTCCTTAACAAATATCCGTTGTAGTCTAGTTGGTTAGGATACTCGGCTCTCACCCGAGAGACCCGGGTTCGAGTCCCGGCAACGGAATTTTTTAGATTCAGCTTAAAAAAAAGGAAAAGGGGGCAACGAATTCCTCTTTTGCAGCAGATTTATGGTCACAAAAAAAAAAAAAAAACTTTTTTTTAATATAAGAAAATTTTCATATTAATACTCTATGTTTTAGCATAATTATTTTTTTAGTATTCTGTACTTTTAGTAATTTTAAATTGTTATCTTGACGTTTTAGAAAATTATTTTTTAGTATTTTGAGATCAATTTTTGTGATGTATAATGTTAAATTTACCATTCTCATTACCTTATCAAAAACTAATAAACTTAGACAAAAAATTCTGAAAATATTTTTTTTAATTTAAAGTATTATTTTTATTTTCAATTTTCATATGTTTAAAATTTTTATAAGTTTTCTAAATTTATTATTAGTTTTTTGGTTAATTAATAAGAATGGTATTTGACATTTTACATTTTAAAAAATGATCTTAAAGTACTAACATATGATTTTTTTAAATGTCAATATGTCAATTTAAAATTATTAAAAACACATAGTATTAAAAGATAATTATATTAAAATACAGGGTACCGATATAAAATTTTCCCTTTACTATATTCACACATATTTTATTTAATGATCCATATTATTCGTTAGTTAGTGCAATTGATCAATAATCTTGGAATATCGAAAAGCATACACACTAATTTCATTCATACGACAGTGGAAAACAACTCAAGATAATAACTTCATGTTTTATTAGCTATCTTGAAGAATAATCAAAGACATGATCTTTATCTTAAAAAAAAAAAAAAAAAAGACATGATCTAATACATAAGACTGAAGTGTATGTGAAAATTAGTCTTTATGTTGTGCATATGAATCAGGCTGTTGCACTAATAACCGAATAAAGGAAACCATGCATATGCATTGCAATATCCAAGCTTCATCCCTGGATCTTGTAAGGAATTTTTACATTTTTACATTTTTACATTTGGAATGATAGTGACACAGATGTTAAGTTTTGAAGGTTGGAGGGCTTGTGGTGGAGATATGTTGTAATAAGTGGGTGCTGCTGTCCCCACTGATTTTTTTTATTTAATTTTTAATTTTAGCTGAATTTTTTTTATTTATCCCATTTTGCCCCCACTTGAAAAAAGTAATTTCACATTAGCCCCTCTAAAATGAAGATGTTATACATTATTTTCAAAACGTAAAAACTTATTGTCATCTATTTCATATGTTTATGATCTTTTTCGATATATATATATATATATTGTGTAGTTTTTAAAAAGTACTGTGATACTATTATTTATTTGGGTTAATTATAAATTTCGCTACAAATCAATAGAGGCCATTCCCATTTTTCTCTTACAAATCAAAATAATACAAAACGCCTATTTTTCTTTAAATTTAGTATATACCCCTACTGAATTTTAAGGTTAGCTTAGCCAAGAAGAAATTTTGTAATTAAACCTACTATTTAAATGAACATAGTTTAAGAAATTGGTACTCCTAAAAAATCTTCTCATAATATTCCACTTACATAATCTGTATTGTTTGAACTAAAATCCTTCTATTTGGATCATACGAGTTGATGCGTAATTTATAACACCTTACTAAAGAAGAACCTCTTTTTTTGGGCGCTTTCCTTCTGGCGCTTCCTTTTGCGCCGAGAGAGAGAGAGAGAGAGAGAGAGAGAGAGAGAGAGAGAGCGCGCTGCATGGGAAATAGAGAGAGAGAGAGAGGGAGTGATGGGCCCGCATGGGAAGAGAGAGAGAGCTGTCTAGGAAAGAGAGAGAAAAAGAGGGAGGGGTGGGTCTCGCCTGGTGAAAGAGAGAGAAAGAGAATCATCTCATCTGTCCATATTTTTAATTTGACGGTCACAAAAAATTTCTAATTTTATTTATTAATTATTATTATTTTTTATATTTACTTATTAATTTTGGGCTTATTTGTAGTTTAAATTTTTGATATTGCTTAAATAAAAATGCTATAAATGATTTAATAAAAAATAAAATTTAACAAAACTACACTAAAATAAAATAAAATCACATTAAATTAAGTAAAAATAAATTAAACAAAATAAAATAAAATTGATTTAAACACAATAAAATAACTTTTTTTTTTTACTTTAGATCTTTTAATTGCGTATTTTTTTTTTTACGAAGACAAGAAGTATAATTGTAGACATGCCATTAACTAATTTAAAGAATTAAAAAAGCATTATCACACTATTTATAAGGAGATTTTTATAATAAAGTATGAGATTTAAAAATTTAATTTTAATTTCTATCTTAAAAGTTATAATTTTAAGGTTCGAATAGATAATTCGAACATTTCTAAAGATCCTCAACGTGCGATAAAATTAGCATGTTAAAAGTTTCGTTAGATAATTTTTGATGACTCATCATCCACCGTAACCCATCCAATAACACCAAAAGGTGACATAACATGCTTTGAAAACGATTGCCATTAAATTTTTAGTGTGTTAAAAAGGTGTTGACGACTGACGAATCAAAAGACTAAAAAAGTTTTGTGGGCGTTGCCTCTGCTGGGAATTCTTTCTTGGGGACGTATCTAATATAAATATCAATACTCACGACAATAAAAATACTTTATTTTATAATAAAAATATATAAAATGATACATTTGATAGGTATTCTATTTTGTGTTCCAACTTTCAATACATAATGTCATTTTTCTATGCCATGTCTATCTCTTTGTTATAATTATTAAGTTTTAAATTTTGTTAAAGTGAACCTTAAAATAATTCAAATAATAATATACTGTAATGATCAAATGAAAAAGTGATTATGTCAACCAATAAAAATTAAATATTAAAATTTAGTATATGTTATACTTCATATCAAATTTAGCACTAAATATAAAATATATCAAAATTATTATGAAAAATAGCATTGTGTTGTAGTCTTACTCAAATATTAAAATTTAACACTTGAAATGCTCCAATGGAGTATCAAATTAAAATCCCATACATTTATAATTGAAAAAAAAATAATAAATTTACGTCATTTTATAAACACGAAAAAATATATGCCTTAATTTGTCCCTTTATTTTATATATAATTAGCTTGAGGAACAAAATTTTAAGGGAATGATACATTATTGAAGTGAAGAGTTGAGAAGGGCACATTTCTTATTTTTCTGTTTTTTTAATTTTAGTATATACATAGATTTTTTTTAAGCGGAAACATATTCCATATCATAAAACGAGCAATACAAATACCAATCTCTGCCCACCCAACTTCTCACTACAAGAACGATACTGATAAACAATCAGTTCCACTCGTAACATTTAAGAAACCTTCAAAAAAAGACTCTCCATGTTGGTTTCCTATGTTTGGTACGAGGATTCGTGTTATGATTTGAATCATGATTCGTGATTCGTTACAGTATTTTCTCTCACAAAAAATATATGAAAACCGAAAATAATTCTGAATCAAAGTTCTGAATCCGTAAACCAAATGTCCACAGCTCACACATGAATTTTTAACAGAGATTCTCTGTAGTGGATAGAAATCTTTGATCAACTAATACGGAGTATCTTATAACACCAAGACTACACAAAAAAAAAATGCAAAGAAACAAATTCAAAAGACGGAAAACACAACCAAACACTAAACAAACGAGGAAAACACAAAGATTGTGCTAAGAGTCATCGTTATTACAAACCTAAACCAAACTGAACGAGAAAAAAGAAAAGAACAACAATAAAATAATGACAAAACTCCAAGACAGTCAACAACGACCCAAACAATAGAAGAAGAAGAAGACCAAGAAAAAACGGCAGAAGAAGAAGAAGAAAAAACGGCAACGGCACAGAATCTGGAGAGGAGCATACTCTAACTAATGGTAAGTGCACCACACACACACTCCACTTCCTATCGCCGTCACCCAACACGATGCAGGTTTTTTTTTTAATTAATTTATTTATGGATATACACATTGTTATTTGAATTGTATGGTTGCTATGAAATAACAACTTTGTAAAGTTGCATATGATTAAGTTCACCGTAAAATTTTCCAAAATTATAACATATATAAAATTTATAAATGCCATAACAAGCGCAAACGGTTACACCAATAATAAAAAATAATAAGAATAAATAATAATAATAAAAAAAGGCATTGCCTTTCCTCCTCCTTCGTCTTCTTGAGTGTCGTTTCTGTGTTTGTGAGTGAAGACAGGAAATAGAGAGGTCGTGGGAGTCCAACCAATGGACCCTGAACTCTTGTCGGAGGTCGTCGTCGATTCTTCTTCCGCCCTTCGTACTGATAATGGCTCCATTCACAACACTCAATTCAACAACCAGGTCCGTTGTTTACTTGTTCAAGGATTGAATTATATTTATGTTTATATTTAATTATTATTCGTTTTGAAGGAATGCTGTTTCTGGTTCATATATATATATATACATGTTTCCTTGGGTAGAAAATGACATGGTCAAAATCCAATGAAAAATGTGGCTTTTTTTTTTTGTGAAATGAAAGTATTTAAATTAAGCCATTTATTAATGGATTCAAGTGAGATTGAGTGGCAAAAGATTGATGATCCTTGTGAATTATGTAATTAATCAGGATTACAACTTTGATTACTTTTCTCATTTGTTTTGTTAGTTTAAATCAGCTCAAGTTTTTACTACAGTGTTTTCTCTTAAAAAAATTAAATTTAACTTTTTATTTTATAGTATTTTTTTTTACATAAATTTATTTTTTAACTCAAATTAAAAACTCATATCAACCAAACAAATGAGTTCTAAGTTCTATTTTTCATTTTCTTTGACCAAGTTTGGCTGGGGATAGAGTGAATTTTTGATGATGTGAAAAGTGTTCTAATTAAGGCAAAAATTATCATTTAATTCAGGAAAAAAGTCGACGGGGTGATTTGCTGCTCGCTTACAAGACACTGGGAGTGGTGTTTGGGGGACTAGTAACGTCCCCATTGTATGTGTACCCTTCAATGCCGTTGAAATCTCCAACAGAAGATGACTATTTGGGTATTTATAGCATTATGTTTTGGACTCTTACTCTCACCGGGGTTGTCAAGTATGCCTGCATAGCTCTCAATGCAGACGATCAGGGCGAAGGTGTGGTAATACTAAAAGTTGTTATCTTTACATGCTTAAGTCATGGACTCATGGACTATGCAGGTTATTGAGTTTGGAAGATCATTTCTTCTTCCTTCCCTAATATGGGTTCTAAAAGGAGAAAAATTCAATTGCGTATTGATTTCTGTTTAGTTGATGAAAGATTTTTTTTTTTTTTTTTTTTTGTGGTTGGTTTATGTATTGATCATTAGATAGTGACACAAGATATGGCCCTTTCATGAGCCTCGTGTTTCCACGGCCGATGCGCTTCTCTGATAAAACTTACATTTAACCCCTCATAAATGAAGGGAAAGATTTAGATATCCTACAGAAGTTGATCAAAACTCGAGGTTGACAGATCTCTATGTATGGAGATCTGTTTTTCTCTTCTAGTCTTCTATGCTTCTATAGTGAAAAATGTTCTTAAATGATGCAGTTCACACTAATTAGAGTTTGGGCACCTAGTTTTTCTCAAATATACAATTGCTTAACCTTGTAATGCAATGAGGCTCTTCATATGCAGTTCTTGTTCTGAAGTCTAGATTCAACATTGACTTTGTGATATTTTAATCAAATTTTATCTTTAGTTAGTTGGATTACTGAGATTGATGGAGATTTATAGCTTTATGGAACTTTATATAATTTTCCCTGACATTGAGTGATTTTTGGTTTGTTATTTTACTGTTGTTAGTAGCAGAGTAATTGAACAAATTATTTCTTTCTCTTCTGAACCTGGTCATTGCATTAATTTCTCTAAAATGCTTTCCAGATACTCGAAGCATATGTTTTTCCAAGTTTAGCTGTGCCTGAATATCTTTTGATGAGTGTCGGTAGCGATTAATTGCAGGAGGAACCTTTGCCTTGTATTCACTACTTTGTAGGAACATGAATATTGGAATCATTTCTCGAAAACAGTCAAGTTCTATAGTGCCGAATGGCAGAAGAAAGCAAAGTGCACTTGGGAAGTTTTTTGAGAAAAGTATAATTGCTAAAAGGGTGTTGCTTTTCATTGCTATCTTAGGCATGTGCATGCTAATTGGGGATGGCATACTCACACCTGCAATTTCAGGTTTGGTGCAGTGTATTTTTATCTTCAAATCGTTTTTGTATGGATTCTGTTTGTATTAATTTCTAATACTAACACATAGTTATTTTCAGTTCTGTCAGCAATGGATGGAATTAGAGGACCCTTCCCTTCTGTCAGTAAATGTAAGTGATTAGAAATATTGCATATTTCACCTGAGCCTGAAAATTCCTGGTAAGCGCATGTAGCCGGTGGAACTAATCTTCATTATAGGATTGTGAAACCAGATAAGAATAGTATTCTTTCGGGGTAAGGCAAACATTCATGAAGTTTAACTAGGGCAAAGTTGGCATTTAGATTGTTCGAGTATAGAGACATATTTGCCTATATCCTAGCTAAAATGTAGTTGCTTTCTAACGTCTGTTCTGGATTCAAATACGTCTGCTCACACATATGCTCACACGTCTGCTAACACATGAAAGACGAGTGTTGGGATATAAAAACTGGAGTTGGCTATATCTTAAGGAGTCAAGTCTTTGGATGAATGTGTTTTTGATGCGAATAGTAGGCCTCTTCAATTTTAGGCATGAATTGTTGGAATGAACTTTTGTTTTGGAGAATTGGCATGTGATATTCTTGAATATATAATGTATATTATGTATTTATGTTTTGGTGGTTGAATGTTGCAGCTCTGGTGGAAGGACTTTCTGCGGTGGTACTTCTTGTTCTATTTCTGTTGCAAAAGTTTGGTACATCTCGAGTGAGTTTCCTCTTTTCGCCAATTATGGGTGCATGGACCTTTTGTACCCCCATTGTAGGGATATATAGCATCATCCGTTATTATCCAAGCATATTCAAGGCCATCTCGCCACACTACATCTTCCACTTCTTTTGGAAAAATGGGAAGGAAGGCTGGTTGTTGCTTGGAGGCACTGTCCTTTGTATCACAGGTATTTATTTTCTCCTCATGAATGGAATAATTCTTATGGAAGATACTCATGATTAATCTGCCTTGGTTTATCAATTTTGTTTGTGAAGATGAAGTGCAAATTCTGCCCCTTAAAACATAGTATGTAGAGTTCAGCACTTTCATTTATCATTTCTAATCTTTTAAAATTGACAATGTTATTGACCAAGTGTCCATGCAATTTTGTTCAGAAGTTTGGGTTTGTAGAGTATTTCATGTAAAGCCCAGTTTGAAAAGCTGTATGAACTCACGAGCTTAATCTGAAATGACTTTTTGGTGCTAATGATTCAAAATTATCTTATGTGGATGATGATATACTTTGGAAGAACGAAAGAAATCCAAATGATATTCTTGATGAAAAATTACTATCGAATATGCGGAGACTGAAAACTTGGTTTATTTAGGTTGTTCAGGATATGCAATGATATTTGATATGTAAAGTTTCAACTCCATCACACACACGTCGTAAACCATGCTAGAAGTTGCTTCTTCTTCTGGTTGTTGTTCGAAAGATTATGAAGATCTTGACAGTTGTTAGTCCAAAAGGCAGATATATTCCCTGTTTGTTTTTATGGTTACTACTTTACACACCATGATCAATTAGAAATTTACCTTTTGTTTCTTGTTCTTTTATTGAGAGAGTTACAGACCTTAATCAAAATAGACAGTGTCAAAGAATGAATTTGATTAGCTCCTGGTTTAAATTCTTTTGTTGAAAAAAAAAAAAAACTTTGCAAGGGCGTACTCATACATTGTTGTCTATGTAGAATACCACCAACCTCTTAATCAGTTTTCTCTGACCTCTCAGGTTCTGAAGCCTTGTTTGCTGATTTGGGCCATTTCAATCGTAGATCTATTCAGGTTAGTTTGCAAATCATCTATTTTCCCACCTTTTCTATACCTTTATTATTATTATTATTATTTTGGAGAAGGATATTTGAAGATGTTTTTGATACCTTTTTCCTTCCCAACAGATTGCATTTTTGTTCACAATTTACCCATCTCTGGTTCTGACATATGCTGGACAAACAGCATACTTAATCAATAATCCAAATGACCATGATGATGGGTTCTACAAGTTCATACCAACAAAGATATATTGGCCTATCTTTATCATTTCAACGTTGGCTGCAATAGTTGCAAGTCAGTCACTGATTTCAGCCACCTTTTCTGTGATCAAGCAATCTGTTGTGCTCGATTATTTTCCTCGGGTGAAAGTTGTGCACACATCACCTAACAAAGAAGGCGAGGTTTACTCCCCTGAAGTCAACTACATCCTCATGATTCTCTGTGTTGCTGTCATACTTATATTTGGAGATGGAAAAGATATCGGCAATGCTTTTGGTGTGGTAAACCGATGAACTTTGCATATTAAGTTAGGCTGCATTTGAATTTCAAGCAATAATTTGATACATTTCTCTTTTGTTTTTTTGCATTTCTTTTTCTAGTTAATAAATTAGTTGATATAAGTAGACACTCGCGTAACTGTTTTTCTGGTGATGTTATTTTCAGGTGTGGTTGTCATTCTAGTCATGCTCATCACCACCATATTATTGACATTGGTTATGATAATCATATGGAGGACACCGTTTTATCTTGCTGGTCTCTACTTCACTGTGTTTTTTGTAATGGAAGGAGTTTATGTGAGTGCGGTTTTCACTAAAATTCCTCAAGGTGGTTGGATTCCTTTTGCCATATCTCTTATCCTAGCCTGCATCATGTTTGGTTGGTTTTACGGAAGACAACGAAAGATCGAATATGAGTTAACATATAAAATAACCTTAGACAGACTTGGACAGCTACTATCAGATCCCAGTGTTCAACGGGTTCCCGGATTGTGCTTCTTCTACACCAACATTCAAGATGGCCTTACTCCTATTCTTGGGCATTACATAAAAAACATGAAATCCCTTCACAAGGTTACTATCTTTACAACTCTTCAATATTTATTGGTTCCCAAGGTAGCTCCACACGAGAGAATCGTCATCAACAAACTCGGCATCAGACGGGTTTATGGCTGTGTGATTCAGTATGGCTATGCGGATCGCTTGAACAACGAAGGGGATGATATTGTTAGGCAAGTTATAGAAAGCTTGCAAGAACACATCCAGGACTACTCGGGTTGTATACCTTCTAACCCTTCAGAAATCCAAGAACAAATTTCTGATCTACAAGAAGCAAGGGAAGTTGGTGTTGTTCATGTTCGGGGAAAGACGAGATTCCACATTGGCAAAAGCTGCGGCTGGTTTGACAGAATCATGCTTGCGTTCTATGAAGTTTTGCATAGTAATTGTAGGCCTGCCCTTCCTGCTTTGGGCGTGCCATTGACTCAGCGTATCGAGGTTGGAATGCTTTACGAGGCTTAGAAGAATAATTTTTTGAGCTGTCCTATGATCCTTCCAGCATGCTTTTAATATACAGGTAAAAGATTTACAGGGAAAACATTATAATACCGACTCCGGTCCTGCTATGAGGCTTCATGTTCTGGAGCTCTGCAAGTATTTTTCTATAATTCCTTACAATAGTATCTTGCTCGTGAAGTGGTTTTTTTTTTTTTTTTTTCAAATGAAGAAAAGAAATCTAAGAACATGATCGCCAATTACCTATGACTAATAACCAGTGGGAATGACATTTAAAATTTGTGTGACAAACACAACATTACGTGCTTTCTCATGCTTGGACTTAAGAAAAGGTATATTAAATGCTTAAGCTCTCGCTTTGTATCAGTTTTAACTGATTCCTTAGATAAATTCCTTTTCATGTATCTCGTGAGGTTTTCAAAATTGCTAAATGCCCCTGGTTGTACGTTTTTAGTTTCCTTTGGTAATATTAAAAGTGTGTTTGGCTACGTATTACTAAGGTAATTCTTAGTTACTTTAGTTACTTTAACGTGTGATATATATATATATATATATATATATATGATTTCTTCTCCTGAAACCTAGATAATGTATAAAGTTAATTGTCATTAACTCCGAAACATAAACTCCTTTTTAACTTTTTGTTGAACAATGCATCATTAGAAGGGCAAAGGCCACTGAAAAATAAGATGAAAAGTGGGCGTTTAGTTAAATTAATTTCTTAGTTAAACTAGGACCTTCAATGGTAGTCCATGCAAAAATAGACTGCCGGTAGTCTTACTTTTCAGCTGTTAAAAATGTATTAGAATCTGTCTATTATGTATATTTTTTCAATTTAACGTGATTTTAATTAAAATCAACGGTCAAAAACTAATACTACTGGTAAGGCGGACTATTAAAGAAACTCTCAAATTATAAAGATAAAAAAAAAAAAAAAAAAACAAATTGATTTCCGAAAATAAATAGAAGATGATGGTTGAAATTTAAAGAATCAAAACGTAACATAGGCCTTTGATTGAAGTACAAACAAGTAGAAGAGGAGGTATTCCCCCTGTATATAACTTCTAGATTTTAGATTATATTTCATAATCTTACATAGCAAAACGGTTTCATCATAATTTCTTACTAAAATAGAAATCTTTACCGGATTATAATTATGGTTATAGTCGAACAAGTGACGAGGCAAAAATAATAATAATAATGTTAGATTATGAAATTTTAATATGTTTTCAAGGAAGAGAACTTTGTTTATTGGATTTGTTACAAGCTATTAAGTATAGCTCTTGAAACAATATGCCCATCTTTAAAATAACATCCATCCCCCTTCCCTCCGCCCTAATCTTTGAACTTAAAAAAAAAAAAAAAAAAAATCTGCGTTTTAACAAAAATAAACGTCAAACAAAATATCAAGGTCATGGTGGCTGAAGAATTAGCATACAATTTACTATACTAGCTTTTCTCTTTGCTTCATAATCAACGGAGAGAGCGGTTGTCATTTTTTTTGTTTTTAATTTATAGGATAAAATTATTTTGGTACCCTATATTATAGCGAAATATGCTCTTACTATCATATGTTTTCTATAATATTAAAATGGTATCTCAATGTTTTTATAAACATCTTCTTAATACTACGTTAATGTGCAAACTACCATTCTTATTAATTAAATAGAAATTAATAATTTTTCAAAAAAAGTCAGAAAATATTTTAAAAGAAAACAACAAAATAAAAAAGCTCGTGACTTTTTTCTAGATTTATTAGTTTTTAATTAATTAAGTAGAAGGGTACTAAAGTAATTTTATGTCTCAAAAATTAATTTCAAGGTATCAAAAAAATATTTTTAAAAATGCTGTGGTATCACTTTAATATTATTAAAAATAAAGAGTAACAAAAGCATGTTTCCTTACATAATTTCAAGATAATTTTATCCCTTAATTTATTTACCATTAAATTTTCCTTAATAATCAGACTTTTTAAATTGAACCAGCTTGTAAATTCAAATAGATTTGAAAGTTACCGAAGTACCCCTAAATTAGGGAGTATTTCAATCATGTGTCAATTTTTGCTAAAAATCCTGACAAAAGGATTTTTTTTTTATTAGATTGGAAAACAAATGGTACATTTTGAAGATCAGATGGCATATTGTTATAAGCGTTATAGTTGAAGAGGAAATTTTTGTAATAATCCTTTTTATTTTGATGTTGAAACATGTGTCGAAGCAACCAAAAAAAAAAAAGAACTAGATTATGATATTCTAATATAGTTTCCGAAAAGAGAAACTTTATTTATTTTAGGCTGTATAAGTATATCAATAATCATGTTGTATACTTTGGCGTGTCCTGTTATATTATATTCTATTGCATTGTATAATTTATTATAATATGGTGTTTGCCTGTTTGAATTTGCGTCGTATTAAGATAGGGTTTTGATCGCAGTAGGGATCCAGGTCCTAGACCTAGACCAAGGTCAAGCCTCAAGCTCCAACACAAATTGAGATTCGGGACCAACATCAGGGTGGGGATGGAGTCCATAATTGGATCAGGATCAGGATCTGTAACCACAATTAGGTTAAGGTCCAAGATCCCAAATGGACTTCGACCCCAGAGCCAATTTCGGACCACAAACACAATCCCAATGTCAGACCTAGACTTAGGGTCCATTTAATTCGCTGATTCGAATTTTTAATTCAAATTGAGATGTGACTTTATGTGAGTTTTTTACTGTAATAAAAAAGTTAGATGTGACTGTTTCTGATAGTTTTTTACTGTAACAAAACTTGAATTCTAAACTTAATCGGTGAAATGAACGGGGCCTTAGTCCTTTACCCTGACCCTCGTATTGGTGTAAGTCTAGGACCCTGATCTTGGTGCTGGACTCGAACCCTAACCCCGTTCTAGTCCTTAACCCTAGACGCGAGTCCCCGACCTCAATCTAGGTAGGTCAAAGGTGCCAATGTAGAACCCCAATCCAATTCCCATTCCCCAAACCTATTTTGGGTTCTTAATCCGTACCCCAATCCCTGTTCTTCCACTAGAAACCGACCCCACTTCTGAAGCCCAACCTTGGTGCTGATCCCCGAACCCCAACCCGACCCCAGTGCTAGTGCTAGTCCTAGTCCCTACATAGGTATCACAATATATATTGCTCATGTGGTATTAAATTATTATCCGATGTACGAAAGTTAGCAAATGCCGTATGATTTTAAAATAGTACAATACATCGTGTTAATATGACGTACCAAACATGTCCTCAATAGTAATATTGCACATACAATAACATGTCCTACCTACGTAGTATCATTCTTTCAAAGAGATTTATACAAACAGTAGTATTCCTTCATGACGTATGTTTTTTAAGAACCTTGATGGAAAGAGAGCCCACTTGGTGAATCAATTCTCACAATGATTTCATCCTCGGCACTAGATTCATCACTGGAATCCTCACGTACATGGCTCTCTTTCGAAGCTGTACTTTGCAGTGGTGCCGAAGTCATTTCTCCAGTGAATTTCCTCCCTTCTGACTTCTTCCTTACAGTAGCAGACGATTCTGATCTGACAGAAACAAGTGGACGGCCATGATGTGATGGAATCGTAGGATATGATACGCTATGAAATGGCTTGGTGGAACTTGGAAAGCGCCTACGGATGTTAACCTTGCAACATCATTTACCACGAGTGAGTTTCAAAGTGCTGAGACTTAAAAAACACATCATTCTTTATTGTTGAATAGAGAACTATCAGTAAGCGGGAGGGGGGAAAAAAAGAAAAAGCATGATCAACAATGTACATTTTTGAACCGCCAATCTGTCACTAGAATTCACTAGATTTTCATATTGCATTATTCTAATGTGATGTTACATTTAGAAACACACAGTACCAATAAAAATACCCATCTTAAAGGATCCTTATCCTACTTAAATATTGGCTACTAAAAGTGGATTTCTCTCTTTTGTTTTAATCTTCTTTTTGAACTTAATAATAACCAAGAAAAAATAATGCTCTGAACTAAAATTGTACAATGATTAACAATCCTAGGAAGTACTTCTGAGCACGAAAGGACATCAAGAAGTGAACATACCATGCTACCATAAATGCTCAACTGCATTGCTCTAGCCGATAAGCTGTTAGCTTGTTGGTGAATCCGATCAGAGTTCTGCTTGTGAAGTCTTGGCTTGTAGAAATATTCAGGCCAGCTCATAAGACTTCCGTGTTCTCGACTACTAGATATATGGGGGCGATCAACTGAATGTGACACAAATGAGGATGACATTCTCTGGAGTTTAGTGTCTGATTCAAATGCAGCGAGATCGAAAACAATTACTCTCGCTCTCGTTTCAACTAGATAACAGGATCCTTGATGAGAAAAACTGGCTCCATTGGTTGCTGTCAAAATAAATAACAGATTATTTTAACACCAAAAGATAAGATGAGAATGGAGAATATATTCTATTGTGAGACAACGGTAAGTTATACACCTATATTTGTTGAACTCATTATAATAGTTAAACGGGTATAAAGTGCGTAATTTGCAGCCTTCTCAAAAGCATTTCATTAGATGTGAGATTAAATTACCAGTTGTTTCCAGATTTTGAAAGCTTTGATATAAATGTGAAGGCAAGAGAGCTGCTGGTGATGTAATCAGTTCCTGGGCGCCTTGGGTTTTGATGAATCCTTCCAACAAAAAGCCAATGGAGTGGTGAGGAATTTCTATAGCTTCTCCCCTTATGTATGCGGTCATGCTTGACCTTTCAGCAACAAGAACTCTTAAATCCTGCATTGCCCTTTTCTCAAATATTTGAGGCAGCAAGAGCTTCAAAAGAACAATAGCACTTTCCTGCAGAATCAAAGATACAACAAACCAAAGAACATTAGTCACACCAAAAAAGCTTTTGTATACTTCATAACAGAGTTGCGGTACCATCCATTTTATTTGCAAAAGCATCATTTTCTGGTAAAGCTACATATTAAACCATATTAACAGTACATATTTGGATGGAAATAGTGGAACGCCCCTTTTCAGCAAAAATAAAAGGATAAATACAACATCCACAACAAGGAATCCAAGATTTTTTGCCTTTCCATTGCTCTTTCTGCATCAATTTCTTTTGAAGTCAATAACATGAATTAGAGTTTTTTACATGACGGGAGCTGTTAGAAAAGATAAATGTCGTATACCTGCCACAGGAAGTCTTCTACTGAAGGATCAGACCTTAGCACAGAAAGTATATTGTCAGCTTCGACAAAGAAACAGAGAACAACAGAATCTGTTATCATGTCACAGATGTATGGTTTTCCAGTTAACACTTCGTACAGGCCCAAAGTACTCCCATGGGTAAAAGTTGGATGTAATGAATGTTTGTTTTTTAAACTCTTACTCATCCACTGCCAAAACAAAAGATCCATCAATGGCACTGTCCACCAGCAAAATTAGAACATATTGCAGGGCAAAAAAAATGCTTTACCTTGACGATCCCATTGGAAAGAATCCAAATACCATTAGGTTTAGATCCCTCCCTGTAAAGTGTCACACCACGTAATTTCATTGTTTCCTTGGTAGAATTTTCGAGCAGTTTACGGACAGAAGATGGAAGAGCCCCCGTGAAAGGATGGGAACTAATAACATCTTTCATTTTTGGAATCTTTACTAATGGCGGATTTCTTAGAAGCTTTCTCAAATCAATCTGCAAAGAAGATTTCAGATATTACATTAAAGCATGAATAAAGAGAGTTGGGAACTAACTGAAGAATGGAAAGGAAAAAGATAACACCTACCTGAACAGCATCATGGAGATGGAGCATCTCCTTTTCCTCCAATATGCCAACCTTTTCAAGGTTTTGGACATAATCAATTAGATGGTTCAGCACTGAGTATGTTACCTGTCTGGTTTTCACAACCCACAAAACCTGACAATTCCAAAGAGTCCATCACGAAACTTGCCTAATTCAGATACTATGAAACAACAATCTCATATCCATCTTACTTTTAAGCAAGAATACGTCATGACAAGATGAATTTATAGAAAAACTTCAACTAGAATCCAACGCAGCTATTCAAAAAGACAAAATTGACTATCTAAGGAACGAACCTGAGGAAATGTTACACGGACATCTTCTAGAAACGTTCTTGCTTCTTCTCCTTCTGCCTCACTTTCATTGATGACAATAGAAGCAACATCACTGTCACCTAAATGACACGTGTAGATTCATAGAAAATAAATTAGTACTTCTCAAAGGTACTCACATGAATGGATCTATAATGTAATGGCCTTTACAAGTTTAATACCGTAATAAAGAGCATAAATAACATAATTGTCTAAGTACTACGATGAATAGCTGGATGACTCACTGATCAGCAGATTTTCCTTCAAGAATTCATAGATGAATTTGTACTCAAATAACAAGAGCACGTATCACTTAAGAAAGAAGATGGAAAAATATTGTACTCTATGACTGACAGATAAATAAAAAAAATAAAATTAAAAAAAAAAGAATCAACCAAAGAACAATGGTAAACTTGTTATTTAAAGAAAGGAATAATTTCATTTGGCATTTATAATGAAAGAGTTCCATCGTCTTCTTAAAGCCATTATGGTGTTTATAGTTACAGATACTCTGCAAAAGAGTCTTGCTCATTAAACAAAGTTAGGAGATCTAACTTTGCCCGAATTTCACCAACTTTCGATATTTGGCATACGTGTAACATTCACACATAATGAAAGTAAATATAACCTATAAATATCACCAACTCTTTGATGTTTGGTGTACGTGCATGATTAATGAAACATTTTTCCTAAATATATTATAGACAGAATAGAGTCAGCTGAACATGGAATTAAACAGAATATTGCACAGGTAAACATTTTTCCTAAATATATTATAGACAGAAAAGAGTCACCTGAACATGGAACAAAACAGAATATTGCACACGTACACATTCATATACAGCTGTTCACTCAGATAATCGTGGTCATGAAAGCACACGTAGCATTTACCAGATCCTAGGAGGTAAACATATGAACCTATGCATCAAGCTTACTTACAATAAATGCTCAATAAAAAAAAGGAAAAAATAGATTTGCAAATACACTGACACGCTTCATATATAAGATAAGCCAGTAGGAAAGCCGTACCTAGAAAATCATGGAGTTGCTGCCTAGCAATTCTATGAGCACGAAGAAAGGCAGCACAGATGCAACATGCAGATTCCAACCTCTCCACAGTGAAATATGTTACCAACTTCTGTGGACAAATACTTCTTTGGAAGAACTTGTAATAATTTGGAAAATGAACATGAGATTTTAAACCTTTCCAGTCACATAAAGGTTCATTTGAGACAAAGTCAAGTGCTTCATCCACAGATTGCATCAAAATTCTTGCAGTGGATTGAATAATCCTTCCCTCATCAAGCATCCCCCAGTAAGCAGCTTGCACACCTGATAGGAATAAATTCGTAAACTAGTAAAGGCAGTCGCTATCAAATATGGAGAAACTTTTGATTTGTTAGGATTCTTTAATAATTTGGAAAGTTTGATTAGTGGGCTATTATAGTTCGTAGTGTGTTAGCAGTGCTTAGAGGAGGGTTAGCCTTTCTATATTAAACGAGCCAAAGCTGTTTTCTGGCAGCCCCTCCTCCTACCCCCTCTTTTCTTTCTTTCTTTTTTTTTCCTTTCTTTACTTTTTTATTTTGTTTTTTATTTTTTAAGTGGTTTTTTTATTTTTGTGAATGTTTCTTTACATTTTTTTTTGTTAATGTAATTTTTTTCCTAGTGTTCCTATTTTGTTTTTGTGTCCATGGTTAAAATAATTTTCTTCAAATACGTCTTTATTTAATTGTTTTTTGTGTCTATTATATCAAAAGTAATCTTTACACATATATATATTTTTTTAATACTAAATCGTCTTCTTTTAATTTACAGTTACATAAATCAATTTTTCATTGGGGCTTCTAGGAAGTTTAGGTACCTTGGGTCTATAGTGCAATACGAAGGAGATATAGAAGAGGATGTTCAACATAAGATTAAGGCAGGATGGGTTAAGTAGAAGAATGCTACAGGAGTTTTATGTGATGGCAAGATGCATATTAAGTTGAAAGGAAAGTTCTATAGGACTGCAATCTGTCCAGCTATGTTATATGATAGTGAATGTTGGGCCATTAAGATACAACATATATGTAAGATGAGTGTGGCAGAAATGCGTATGTTAAGATGGATGAGTGGCTATACGAGAATGGATCGCATAAGGAATGAAGTTATTCGTAGTAAAGTAGGTGTAGCACCAATAGAAGATAAGGTGCGCGAAGGCCGCTTGAGGTGGTACAGGCATGTCCAACGTAGACCGCTAGAAGCACCAGTTCGTGCTTGAGAGGACATTCTTATACCCAATACTAGGAGAGGGAGGGGTAGACCAAGAATTACGTGGACCGAAGTAGTTAGGAATGACATTCTAGATCTAGGCCTTCAGGAAAGTCTAATTTCGAACATAGCTGCGTGGAAAAGTGAAATCCATATAGCCGACCCCAATTAAATTGGGATTAAGACTTGTTGTTGTTGTATAAATCAATTTTTCATTACTGGGTAAATAATAAACTCTTCATGTGTCTTCAACACCACAATAAATGTAGAGCACTTTCCGAAACCTAGTAGTATAAAAAGGAGGAATTAGGAGTTGGAGAGGGAGGTCAGATTATTTGGGATTTGGGGAAACACGTTGGGAGAGTTGGCTCTTTTAATATATTTTGTGAATATTTCTTTACATTTTAACTTTATTACGTGTGTTTTTTTAACAATATATTTTTCCTTACTTTATTCTTATGAAAGTAATTTTTTTCCTAGTGTCCCTATTTTTTTTTTTTCATGATTAAAATAATTTTCTTCAAATGTGTCTCTACTTAATTGTTTCATGTGTCTCTACTTAATTGTTTCATGTGTCTATCATATCAAAAGTAATCTTTACACGTATTCCTTTTTTTAATACTAAATCATCTTCTTTTAATTTACAGTTATATAAATAAATTTTTCATTATTCAGTAAATAATAAACTCTTCAAGTGTTCTCAACACGACAATACATGCGGAGCACGTTAGAGAGAAAGGTCAGATTATTTGGGATTTAGGGAAACACTTTGGGAGAGTTAGTGGTCTCTCAAATACCACTATTATTAAGGTTTTAGAATTGGGATTTCTCTGGAGTCTTTGAATAGTCCAGACTATCTTTTGCGTTTTTCTCTGATTTCCTTGCTGGTTTGGGTTTGTAAGAGCAGGTGTTGAAGTTGATTAATAAAGAGTTCCTTCCAATTCCCTTGTTCATTTCTGGTTAGAGTGTGAGTATTGGCTGTTTGAAGTTAGAACCAGGTCTCTAACAGACTTCACAACACGGTCAAATCAATGGACATAGCAATATTATTGATTTCCCTAAAGAACCTTTGCTAGTGGTGAGCACTTAGGTGAGGGAGGTACCCCAGGGGGAATCGAACCCAAGACCTCCCACTTGTAAGGTGTAAGCCACTTAAGTTACCCCTTGGGGGGTGGTGAAAGGTCAGTATCATTGGCTATAAACAATGAGTGGGGCAGAAAGCAAACTTAGTAATAAATTTACCATTCAAGAGGCGTACACGTATGTCCTTCAAATTCATTCGGTCAAGATTATTATCGTTTTCAGGGGCCTTGTGAGGGTGTACAGGTTCCCCTTCGATGTTATTTAAGCTTGCAATATATCTTTTCACGGTGTGCCAGTCAGCAGGTCCCAGTTCCTCATCTTCTCCAAGATCACCAAAAGCTTCAATTGCTTTGTCCAACATTTCATATTTTGTGTAGTCCAATATGCGTCTCTGCCATGAGAAGTACACGTATCAAAATAAAAAAAATAAGCTCTTACCACCACCAATTGAACCATTTCCAGAAGCATAAACAACCCCATGGAAATATGATACTAGAACTAGCCAATCAACCTATCAAAATTTCTTACAGGAAAGGAAAAATAAACAGAATAAAATCAAGTCAAAGCAAGTTGCCACCTATCAAATGTTCCCATATATCAGACAATGGGAAAATATTTAGTATTACTGTAACTCATACATTATAGGCAAGAAAAACATGAAGGAGAACCACAATAGAAACAAACTTGTACTATTAACATAAATGCCGCAGAGCAACCAGCCCCCATCAATATTAGATTTTTTTCTCCTTCTCACCCAAGACAGGAGCGCTAGAAAACATCAGAGAACATGTAAAAGGTGTTTTTAGCAAGAACAAGAACCAATTCGAATTTTTAACTTGACGTGTCATTACTTTTTATTGCAGGCATTTTTCAATAAAGTCGGTGGGTTCAACGTCAATATTCTTTAAGTATAAGAACGCAGACTTGTACAAATGTTCCATGAGATACTTCAAGAATGAGATGGATATCCCATCATTGCATCCAAGAACTCCATCTAACAAAAGGAAACAGATTGAATGAGATGTTCTGAAGACCAGTAACATCCTTACCTTTGCTGCTGATAGCTTGTCCATATCTAGAAGGTGTAAGACGAATTGTGTGGTTGAACCATTCACAATAAGAGTCAAGAAAACAATTCCACCAGTGAAGAAGACAAACTGCAGAGGAGAAAAATAGTGTCAATACATAAATTAATCAAATTCTATAAACCCATTTTACCCACCAAGATTAATAACCAATCCTAAGTACAAAATCTTAGACAAACAATAAAAATGCCTATTATAAACAAACATACCAAAATTCCGGTTTCAGAACTAAGGAATGGTGAACTGTCACTTGTACGCTAACAAACAAAAGAGAAACAAATTAGTAGCAGGTGATACTGGACGAATAAAATAGTAAAGAACATGTTGGGAAATAAAATAATGTAAAGCCCACCAGTTACTAAAGTAATTAGCTTCCTTCAAGGAATATGACAGCACAACTTTGAACAAGCTTTTCTATTTATGAAAACAAAAAAAATGCATCGAAAGAAAAATATAAAAGGTGGAAATCTTGCCATGGATCTGATTGGGCAGGATCTATTACAGACAGGATATCTACTACTGGTTTATACTTGGTGGAAATTTGTGACATGGAGAAGTAAGAAGCAGGAAGTAGTTTCTTGTTCTAGTGATGAAGCAGAATTTAGAGCTATAACTCAAGGAATATGTAACTTATTGTGGCTAAGGATTATCTCATCAACATGAAAATGAAAAATCAAATCACCCATGATGTGATAGTGTGATAACAAGGCTGCTATTGAAATTGCTCGGAAACCAGTTCAGCACGACAAATCAAAACATGTGGAGATCGTTACACTTTATCAAAGAAAAGCTTGAATCGAGCCTAATGTCAACTACTTACATCTAGCAGACATCCTCAATAAGGGACTTCCCAGTACTATAGTACTACTTTGCATAAACTCATTGGCAAGCTGAGAATGTTGGATATCTTAGACCCAACAGGGAATTATCTGTGTACAAACAGGGAAGTTTTGAGGTCAGAATTATTTGAGGTTTCTGGCAATTACGGGTATTTTTCTGTCTACTTAGTTTCTATTTTTAGTGTACTAGTCAACTCTATTGTATATGGCGCTACTGTATACGGCTGAAAGCAATACAAATGAATTCTTTTTCCCAAAAAAATCTTCATTTGGAAATGCACCCGCTTCTACTCTTTCTCCTCTTAATATAGCAATAAAGACACGTAGTTTGACAGCACTTCTCATTAAGAAGATTTTAACCATTTTAAGTGTCGATTGTTAGATCCAAGTGTCTTGTAGTGTAAAAAAGGCTCTATGATTTTCACAGTATTAGAAGTCTAAGGTAGGTATCTTTAGATTACATGAAGTTCAGAGTTTAGATACATTTATGTACAGGGGAAACATGAAATTTTAAACATAATTTCTTTTATTACTTGTGCAAAGTTAATATATTTTCAACAGCTCTAAGTGTTGGTTATTATTATGTTACTAGATACTTCCAATATTGAAAGTCCTAAACTGCGTGAAAAATTTAGCACGCATCATCATTTTCACTTTACAATCTCTCTATCATTTTGACAAATATAAATTCAGCATCTTAGAAGTCAAACATAACGACATTCAAATCTGCTAGTCAGAATATGAAATAAACTTTTATCGGAAATAAAACAACCATAAATCTTGCCTTGACAGACAAGGAAAGAGACAATGCCACGGCCCCTCGCAAACCTGACCAGATGAGAATAATGGCCTCTTTCCAATCCAAACCATAGCCAAAATACCGTAGAAACGGGTATGACACTCCAACAACAACTAACCGGGATGCTTGTACGTAAACATAAAGAAGAACAAGGTAAGCCCATGAATTTCCTGAAATTAAAAAATAAATAAACAGGTTAATAAAGTTTCATAGAGACTAAAAGCGTGTTTTTTCATCAAAGGAAAAAGTGGAAGGCCGGAGAGGGGAGAGGGGATTAATTGAAGGATTTTGGAAGCCAAGGTTGTTTGGTAAGAGAGAATAGGAGGGAATGGATTGAGCGAGGGACTTTCAAATCCTTCAGAGAACCTCAATTTCAATCTCTCCAAATACACCAAAAATTTAGAGGACATACCAACAAAGGTCCTTTTCTTTCCTCTCTATTTCCTCACCTAATTATACATCCTTATTTCCTTCCTAATTTCTTTCCCTCTTACCAAAGACGGCCTAAAAGAAAAAACATTACCATATAAAGACAAAAGATCTAGGAAAAATTAGGTTATATATATATATATATATATATATCTATATTCTTTAATAAAAAATAAATAAAAAAAACATAATATACTTCCTTTCTTCTTTCTTTTTATTTAAAAGAAATGAATTGAAATATCCTCAGGGGAGGAGTAAACATTTTTCTGTTGATTGTTTCAATAACCAAAATTCACATGATTGATTGTTTCACCATAACAGTGTAACATAATCAAACGAACCTGCTTTATCTATAGAGATGCAGATAGCAAGAAATAGTACCATTTTGAAAGACAGCATCGCCATCAAGAAGATCTTCAGCTATAACCACTCCACTGCAAAATGAGATTAGAAAACAATTAAGAAAAGAACACAGTGTAACATAATCAAACGAACCTGCTTTATCTATAGAGATGCAGATAGCAAGAAATAGTACCATTTTGAAAGACAGCATCGCCATCAAGAAGATCTTCAGCTATAACCACTCCACTGCAAAATGAGATTAGAAAACAATTAAGAAAAGAAC